TAAAAAACCTAGAATAATTATTTTAGTTATTTTGTTGTGATTTAATAATATTATTCGTGGGTACTTGAAACTTCTAAAGTGTACTATTATATATCTATGATAGTATCAGGGTTTGTTGTTGATGTATAAAGCGTTATAAGTACCTAATGGATATTGTGATATGATTAATTTGGAATTTATTATAGGTACATATTATAAGTCAAATTTTGGTTTAGTACCATAGATATGTATATAATATGTCTTATACCTAGACTGACATACCGTCTCCGCTCAGAATCGTTTTTCTTATACAATGATATTATATCGTTGAATTCAAATTTAATATCATCCATTATCCAGTGACCCACTTGTACCCTACTGTACAGCAGAGCGACACCCACTTGCACACCTTTTTTAATACGAATATACTGTACATTTTGATAGTTGTATACAATAAAATCTAACGTATTTACTATTTACGTGTACCGTATACGTACTCAAAAATAAAAATGCATCGATAGGTAATAAGTGTACTACATCCTATATTTTAACAATATTGGTACTTTACGGAAAAACTGCAAATACGTGATTTTCTTTAAAGTCAACATTTAAACAACGATTATCGTATATAGTTCATACTATAACTAAAAACATCTAAAATATATATTAACCCAGTTATTTTTTATAGAAATTGTAAAGTTCTAATTTGGATGAAATTACATATTAAAACCAAGAATAACGTTTTTAGTTAGCTATTTTGTTGTAATTTAAAAATATTATTCGTGGATATATGAAACTTTTGGAGTATATTATTATATTTCATACACACACAGAGGTAGATTGGGTCAATATTTTAGGCCAGGAATTTTTTTTTGCCAGGCCACAAATTTAACAGGGGACAAATAATTTGGTCATAAGTGTGTTTCAGAAAATGACCGCGTCCAATCCCCTCATTATAATACTTAAAATTACACGAGCTGATAAGGTATAATATAGTTGTTTATGCATTATGTTTATTGTTTATTTTATTTTTATGTTATTCTATGTACTATATAGTCTACGCTACTATATTTTAGATTCTGAGCGGAGCGAGGAAGCTAGTGGTTTTACAATGGTGTTTATTTATTTATTTTTTATCCTGTATACACATTTTCTACCAGAAAAAGTGCTTCGATTTCAACATATAGTACTTTTATATTTTAGATAATTGAATCAAGATGGTACTTTAGGAAAGTAATTTTTTGATTTTCTCAACAGTTTTTTAATGCCACGAGAAAAACCACCAACAAATGACGATAAATAAGACTAAATAATAAACATGATTGCAAGTTATTAACTAATTCCTGATCACCTTTAATAGAGTATTTTATTTTGGTTACCAATCATCCATTGCAGTGACTCACTTGTAACCTACTGTACAGCAGAGCGACATCCACTCACCCGCTTTTTTTTTGTTGAATGAGTGAGCTCATTGTTTTACATATTACAATAATAATCATGTTAAATGTAAACATTAAAATCGTCATTAATGCTTAAGTAAATAAATAAAAAAGTACAAATCAGAGTGACAAAAAACGTACCTATTTTTGTAAGCTTCATGGCAGTTTTTGAATTGATCTCATTAAACCGGTTTTGAGAGCGAAGGGATCGGCTTTTTGAAGGGTTGAATCTAATTAATTTTGCATTTAAAAAACTGCACTGTTCATTGCCCTAAATTCGTAAATAAGCATACACTCTGTAGTTATTTTACGAACACACCACTTGGTTTTAGAAGCCTTAACATAACATATAAGTAACAGATTAATATGTAGTGTATTCGTATATTATTATTATGCATCTTATAGTTTAATGTATGTATTTTTTTATTATTTGAATAATTACTACAATACATATTACGTCAATTTCTAGTATCGAAGTTTACGCGATAACCTAATATAATAATAATAATAAAAAAAAAAATGAGTTACGATATAAATTATTCAATACCATTATCGTACATTCGTATTTCATTAATATTGACTATGCATTTTATATTATTACAATTGATCACACTATTTTTTAGATTCCCAATCTAGCGGTAAATCCTAAATCCATATGCATGATTTTTTTTTTAAAAGTGTTTAAAGTTCTAATTTTGACAAAAATTATCAATTATTGTAACTAGAAAAATATAAAATGTTCTATTTGTATAGCTATGGATTGAACATTTAAAACAACGGTTCTCATAAATAGTTCATATTATACAGTAGCCAAACATTCTAAAAAAATTATAAACACAGTAATTTATTTTTTACAGACATTTTAAATTCGAATGTGGACGAAATTACATATTAAAATTTAAAACCAAGAATAACGATTTTAGTAATGTAGTTGTAATTTAAAAATTTTATTCGTGGGTATTTGAAACTTTTATGTCGGGTTCCATATAAGTGATCGATATAAAAACAGCACTAAGGCTTGCTATCAGGTCCATAAGCTATTATAATATACATCTTTATCGCTTCCATAAAGTACATCACTAGCTGTTGCTTAAAATGTTGAAAAAATGTATAATTATTTGATAACTTGCTCGTATATACAATATTATATTATATGAAACCATTTATGATAGCACACTATTAGTTCAATAAAGTTATCATAGACGGAACATTAATTATCCCGAAGACTGGGAGGAGTGGTCGTGCCGAACGGATTAAGAGAGATTATATAGTATGAGCTATATTATAAGAGTGAGAGAAATTGCAGTGTTCCAATGACAGCCAATGTATATAGCTATAATATCGCCTGATCCACCCTTGCACACGTTATCATATACCTAGTTTTCCGTCCATTTCTATAAGTCTATGAAAGTTATAGAGTTCTTTTATTACTTATCGAACCAAAATCAGGTCTTCAATTTATCGAACCGATAACAATATTTTTATCGATCGTTTATGCAACCCGGAATTATAGAGTATATTACCTTTTATATTTTATTCACTAAATAAGTTTTTGCCAAAAATGAACTTAACCAGGTACTGTATACAGAGACCCACACATACATAATATTATTATATACACTCACACATACCACCTACTTACTAACCTAAACTTCCCACCTCCTGTTGAACGCTATATTATACCCGCATAATTCACAAAGAGTGCTTGACTTATGTTCCCAGCCCGTACACAGTGTATCTCGATTGTATAGCAGTCGGCACCCGATTTCACATTTATAATATAATATGGGTACTGTACATATAGGTAATGTTATTTTTTTGAAGCATATAATATTATATTCAATAAATATGAATTCTTTTTCACATACACACATATAATTATATACGATATTATGACCATTTTGCAGCTGCGTCGAGATCGACTTTGAATCCCATTATAATATTGTTACCAACCGACGTGTTCAACAGATATCGAACACCGTCGGACGTCGATCGTCAAATACATTTTGTCAGAATAAACCAAGAATACGTGTACAATATATAGTATAGTGTAGGTATATATATATATGTACCTATCTCAACAAAAATCTTTCGTAAACTACGTTCATATGATAATATACTTATTACCTAGGTATCATCTGTATATATAAAACAGTAAACTGATTGACTGCTATCAACGCACAGCTCAAACCATTGGACGGATCTGGCTGAAATTTGGCATAGCTATTATGATGTAGACGTGCGCTAAGAAAGGATTTTTCGAAATTTTGAATTTAAAGGGTTGAAATCGGTAAAAGTAAATTTTTACATTTAATTTGTATATCTATATTCATATAACAATAACAATAGCTGTTTTAAAAATAACTGTTTTATATATACAGATAATAATAACAATAGCAGTCGACCGATTACGGGAAATACGGTACGGCACGGCGACCAGGGGGATTGGTAAATTGAGTCCCAAATGACCCTAACTCAGTAAATTGAGTCCCGGGGAAAATCAGGTAGTATTAAGTTGAGTCCCGGAAAAAATAAGGTAGTAGGTAAGTTGAGTCCCGGGAAAAAACGATTTTTAAATAATAATTATTAATTATATAATTATATTTTTCCCCAACGATACACTCTTATAACAACACCAAAGCATTCACAGTCAATAAAAGTCCATAACTTTGTAACATCGTACCTTTGGTTAAACACAATTAAGATAGGTACCGATAAGTAAGGACTATATACTATATATACCTATACGTATATGACGGTATATGACGGTATCTTACTATCTCACCGATTTTCCCCGAATATTTGGTCCGCATTTGCTGCTACAACCGTGCGTACAACCAATAGTTGTGAATCGTATCATTCGTGATTAAACCGACGCGTTTACAGTCCACATCCAAATATTTTTAACTTTATTGATGAATTACTTGAAGTTCAGTCAGAGACACAAATAAAATTAAGAAGTAAAAATTAAAAAAAGAAAAGCACGCTCGGTAACGAACAAAACCTAAGGGAGCAAATGACCAAATACACCAGTAATGTTATAACTTATAACCCGATTTGAGTTTATTAAATCAATAACAATGAAGTTTTTACCAAGTACATAATATATATATATAATAATAATGATAATTTTTAACGACAATATTTTTTTTAAATTAATTTATATAAATCTAAATATTATATATCCTTATATAAATAATATTTACTTACTACCTTTTTTTTCCCGGGACTTAACTTACCTCCTACCTGTTTTTTCCCGGGACTCAATTTACCGCTTTCAAAATGTACCAAACTTATCTCGGACTCAATTTACACAGCCCCGCGACCAGAGGGTCAGGGTTTCCATCTACCTGTACTCTGACCTTTATTTTGTGTGTGTATTTATCAGGGTGTAGATATGAATTTTTCCGTGGTTATATTATTATTTATGAGTTGTATAGAAAACACTGACTAGCTCAATTATACAAATCTTAATCTTACTATACAGCAATTTCGGGGTATTACATAAGCCGGGTTTTTAGCTATTTACACGTAGAGCCCGTGGATGTATTATTGCGTATAATATTATATATGTCAAAAAATATGAGGGTACACTTGGGAGAGGAAAAGTTTGCTGGTGGATTTGCAGATCTTTTACTTGAAATTGGCAATGGTGATTATCCATCGTTTGATGAAATGATAACTATCCCAGAAAATTTGTGCACAGTTGTAACTACATTTCAGGATTTAATATCAAACATTTATCCAGATATTGCTCATATTCGTGATAAGCCTATGGAACGGTTGTGTGAACGTGCTATAGGTACTCACTCCAAAAAATGACCAAGTGGAAATGATACACTGCTCTGTCTTTTGAAGGGGAAGAAAAAGTATATACTTCGATTGATACGGTGGTTAACATGGACGATGCAACTAATTATCCGGTTGAATTTTTAAATTCATTGAAACCACCGGGCATGCCATATCATAGGCTTATTCTGCGTGTGGGCACACCTATTATGTTGTTGCGAAATTTAAAACCGCCTAAACTGTGCAATAGGACCAGGCTTAAAGTCAAAGTTTTACATCGCAATATAGTAGAAGCCACAATTTTAACTGTATGTGCAAAAGGGGAAACTGTGTTTGTACCACGAATCCCTTTAATTCCGAATGATCATCCGTTCGAATTTAAACGATTACAGTTTCCCCTGAAAGTCTGTTTTGCAATGACTATAAACAAGTCTCAAGACCAAATTCTTAAATTTTCAGGAATAGATTGGCGAGAAAACTGTTTTTCACATGGGCAGTTCTACGCGTAGCTTGCTCACGCGTAAGCTCACCCAGTAGCTTGGTGATTTTGTCGCCTACTAATAGATCAGTGAAGAACATTGTCTACAAAGAAGTTCTGTAGATAACATATTGAAAAACTATTAGTAAAACATTTATTTTGAACCTTTAGTGCTAAAATTTATCGTGAACAAAGCTTCTGCCGCCAAAAGCTATAACTTATAGAATAGGTTATGATAAAAATCATTATCTTAAAAACTAAATTAATATGTATAAAATATTATTTCAAAAATCTTAATTAATTTAAATTTCAATAGATTTAACAAAATTTAATCTTGGCAGGTTACATACATTTATATACTTAAACCCGGCAACGACGGGTAATTCAGCTAGTATAATAATATACCTCAAGCCGGGTTCAAACTACACCGTGTCGTGTGATTTCGTATTTTTATGTTTATACCCAAATGCAATAAAAATGATAGGAATATTGTACTTGATGATAACTATAATATAATTTTTTTTTAATTTTACTAATTATATATGTGTGCCTATGACAATCACAAAGAATGTGGCCTAATAATTGGTGAAAGAATTTTTTCGAAATCAGTTCAGTAGTTCCAGAGATTACCCTCAACAACGTCAACTAACAACTCCTCTTTATATAATAGTATAGATATTTTATTTAATATAATATACCTATATTACCTAGGTATCATATATATATTTTTTTTATTTTTAATTAGATGATCCTCAATTCTTTTTCAAATAAAAATGTATAGGTAGGTATGTAATATGTATTACCTCTCTTTTGAAATCACACTCTTGATAATATTACGTGTTTGTGATTTCAGTAAAATATTATATAATATGAACAAAAAAAAATGTCTTATACGTGGCAACGTGGCCGTAGCAACGTGGCAACGTGGCAGTAGCAATGTGGCAACGTGACTATACTATAATATTTTACTAAGTTCGACATTCTAGGAATAAGGGACATCTTTTGTTCGTTTCTTTGCCGACGGATCGTCATTCAGCTGTCCACAGCTGCATTTTGAACCCAAAAACCGTATTTCTGGGCAAATAAACATTGCCGCCGCCGCCGACTACGACCAACACATTCCTGAAACGTGCTGTCATCAATAGCGACGTGCCTTTTCACAATATTATCTGAAAATATATCAATGGCTATTGGCCACATGATAGTATTATTATTATGTGGGTACGAGTAGGCACAAAAGGTGAAGTCCGTCCGGTGTATCGACGCCAAGGAGTCGCCTGCGTTCTAAAGAAACCTTCGACAGAGACCATTTTATTGTACTCATCATTTGCGTTATAAGAAAAAAAATAATAAACGACAATAATAATACGACTCTGCAGTGCACGACACCGGACGACCTACATTGTCTACTAAACTGCGTGTCTCCGACAAGGTTGTACAACTGTCGTCGTGGGAGGCTTATACAATATATTAGTTTTAATGTTATATAAAACATTTTAATAGTATTACACGGGTGGCCGAAATAATATTATTATGGTATGACCAAGTCGAACGATATCATTATTGTGTAGGCACAAGCAGGTACAATACTTGAAATGGTCCGCAGATAAACAATGCGGGGTGTCGCCACTCAGAAGTGGCGTCTGCGTTCTAAAGAAACCCTGCTCGACTTCTCAGAGACCAGAGTTTATTTTACCTCTCTTTTGCAGGGTGTAATAAGAATAAAGATAATAAACGATAATGCACTGCAGAGCACCACACCAGACGAACTGCATTGTCTACAAAACTGAGTGTCTCCGACAAGGGTGTGCTGCCCCGTGCCGTAGGTATATGGAAGGTTATAAAACGTTTTAGTATATATATATTATTGTAAAAATATTACACTGGCGGCCGAAATAATATTGCTACGGTGTGATGTAGTCGTAGAGAAGCTGTATAATATGTACCTAATAATAAAAACGTGGATAGGACATCACCAATAATTACTAGGTCATTACTATATATTATATTTTACTAACACACTATTCGAGGTAGTAAATTGATAACAAATTGAAGACATAAGTTTACATTTTTGTATATTATATTATTTTATTTACATGTTTATTTTATTTTGAATAATGAACGCCAATTAGCATTTACAGATTGGGTACTTAACTTTAATTACAGTTAATTAATTCTATAATAATAACAAGGTAAAAACAATAATAATAGTAAAAAGGTGTATAAATAAAAATGTATAAGTAGTTATTTGTAGTCTCAGCCAGGGCCAGATCATAGCTTTTTAACACCCAAAGAAAATTAAAAAATACGCCGAGAATTAGCATTTTTTTCACGAAAAATCAAGCACACTCACACAGTATTTCGAGGAACTGAGGACCAACGTTTACAAAACTTTTCGCAATATATACGAATGACCAATAATTTATTTACCACAAATAATTTAAACGATAATTTAACTTAAAAATGAAACATTTTAAATTTTAAACTAATCAAGTAATATAGTTTTAGAAGCACTTCTGAATGGTATATTTAAAGCCAAAATCTGTCGTCAATTTTTCTAAGTTTCAGGTTTAGTATAAATAATATTGATAAGAATAACATATATTATGAATTATTTATTGACAAATCTAAATCCATTGCTTACTTTTAATATAAAACGCTTTATGTGAAAAAACAATATTTAATTTACAACATAACAATATTATACATTTTTCATTTTTAATATTTGTTACGATCAAAACTTTATATGTACCTAGGTAAGAAAAAAATACAATGAAACAAAAATGTAATTATGAACTGAAAATTGTATAATATAATGATTATAACACGATAAAGAAACATTTATCTTGGATTATCACTTATGGATTGAATGTACCTATATACTAAAATAACTACATTTTACATTCTACATTATATATACATTTCCAGAATAATAAGAACCCGGTTGTCTATTCGTAATCTTGAACTATAAAAATAAATTAGATGAAAAAAAACTGTTTATTATAAAAAAACGAATCAAATAGAATATAAATTTCTTTTTAAATTATTTTAAAATTGAAATGTGACAATATTTCTTAGGGCAAGTCGATGCGTTTTTTCCATTATACCCATATAACGTTCTTTTCCATATGATGTTAATTATATCGTTTAGAAATACCATTAATTTCAACATTTTTAATATACCTTTAACTTTTCAAAATTTAATTTATTTTAAAAAACTCAACGTTTCGAAGTATTAAAAACCTTTTAATTAAAAATTGGTTTTTTTGTTCTAACACAAAAATTGAGCAGGTTCTACATGTCTAATATATCAGTATAGTTTATATTAATAAAATATAAACATTTTGAAATATTATAAAATATATTGCCAAAAATATAATTTGCATCAGTTAAATTTAATTTTTAAGTATTGTCAGTAAACTATGAATAAATATAGCGTCTTTATATATAGTACTACCGAAGTCCAACCAAAAGATTCCGAACGACCATGTACCTCCACTGCTGATTTACAACATTACAGACCACACACACACACACACACACACACAATATGGGCCTATAACCAATATATATAGTAACACGTGTTCTAACAATACATCAGTGTACTGCACACCACATTTTTTCGAGACCGAATAATATCGATCGAAATACCCAAACACCCACCACCTGCCGCTTAAAACCGAATAACATAATATAGCTAGTATAATATAACGAAGCATACGTATTCGTATTCCGATATTAAAGCGTTCTTGACTCGCATTCCATAAGGTATTTTTATTTTGCAGCTGTTGCCTTTCATATTACAACGGACAGATGTTATTCGAAGAAATTTAAGATATTGTGTTCCGCACAGGCATTAACAGTACATGAACAATATATACGAGTAGATATCGTTCGAAGATCCGGTGGACGAATGTTTTGTCCTGAGTAGTTAAACATGGGAATTTATCTATTTAATATTTTTAATAGTTCATACACAAAAGTAAGAACATATGGTACTTTATAGTTTATTACGAATAAAAATTACAACTTAATTTTATGTAAGCTAAATTTACTTTTCAGACCACTGTAAACCGTCGCCGCTGCTCTCACGGTTACAATATTATATGCCTTATATATATATATATATATATATATATAAATATATATGTACAATTGTACCTACATCTATTATATTACATATGTTCGATGTTATGTATATATACATATATTTATATAATATGTGTTATATTACATTATTATTATAATTGTACGTCACGGCGGCGGCAGTTGTCGATCTCGATTTCACTTGGCAGGCGGGTGGGAGGGTATAATATAATATAAATTTTTAATCGCTTATAAATTAGTATACAGCTAGTAGTAGGTACTCTGCTGTATTTTACCAGCTATATGTGGATCATGGTATTTTATACCTACCGCCAAAACCCGGTCCTCAACTGACGCACAACTATTGTTACCGTCAAAAAAGCTGAAAACCGTTCGAGTCCCGTTTCCGGCAAAATGTCTATATTGAAATACGATTGTTATAAATAAAATATGTTTGTAAAGGAATAGC